TATTAGGATATGAGTGATTTTGGAGGGAACAACAGAAAGAGTTATACTTTGGAAGCACCAAAAGTGGCTGGCACTTTTTGGAAATACCTAGAAATTAGAATAAAAGAAAGTGTTCATCAAGGCAAAAACTGCAGAAGGATGTTCTTCCAACAATGGAATGGTTAAGACTATGAACTTTGAGTCAGACACACCAGGTTCGCTTGTCTGTAAAGAGTGGGAGATCTGGGGATCGAACTGACAACAACTATGGAAGGCTGTTCTGAGTACTTGGGATTGCATAGCCAGGCCCACTGTTGGTCAAACGAGGAGCAGGCGCAGTGCTCCACAGCCTCCTTGGCCCCTAACAGTCAGTCAGGGAAGTTGATGCTGGACTAGAGCAGGAGATAGAGATGCAGGTGGTCTCTAGAGTGCTACTCTTCAAACTTAAACGTGCATATGAATCACCTGAACATCTTGTTAAAATGCAGAGTCTGGTTCAGTAGTCTGGGGTATGGCTTGAGATTCTGTACTTCTAATAAACTCCCTGGTGATGCCAATGCTGCTGGTCATGGGTCACTCTTTGAGCAGCAAGAAAATGTGCTCTGTTGAACTCTCCCGTTGTGACTGCCATCACAACCAGTCCACCTTCTTCTTTTGAAGTTGCTCCCTTGTTCTTTCTTTTTCGTTAAAGCACTGCCATAGTCTTAATCCTGAGCGCCAGTGCTGTAATATTAGAAAAAAAAATAGGCACAGGTTTTTATCATGTTTGACACTCACTGTATCCATTAGCACTGGGTGCTCAGTGCTCTGCATTGCTCCAAGCCTTGGGAGCACACAGAAGACTTGGCCCCTACCCTCCAAGGAATAAAAAAACCATCAGTGACTATTCACCAGTAATCATTTATTGAGTGCCCTCTATTGGTATTCTTAGAATGAGCGAACTCACCGGGAAGACCAAAACCATTGAAACCTTGTTAACCTTTCTGAGTCTCAGTTTTCTCAGATGTAGAAGATAGATACCAACACATATCTCAAAGACTTACTTCAGGGTGAAATGAAATGAATGTAAAGTCTCTAGTAATTGCCAGTTGGTGAATAGTTGTAATCCTTTCCTTTTAGTTCTATTAGGTTGTGGTACAGACACGGATACATGAACAGAGTTTCAAAAGGGAAAATCTTGGCCTGTGGTCTGAGGCCATGGGTATTCTGACAAAGGAAAGCACTCAGAACAAGGGTTTTCAGGGACTCTCAGGAACCTAAATCATTAAGAGGCACCCAGCTCTTGTGGAGCTCTACCCTTCTGTAAATCATAATCCTACATTACCACACTTTCCTGGTGACCTCGGGTTCTTAAATAACGCAGTCTCTTCCCTCAGTTTCCAGTGAATTCAGATTCCAGTGAATTCTCAGTGGAAATAAGTCTTATTCTCCCAAGGACTCTCTTTTATTATTCTCTTCTGCCTCTGAAACCTGTTCTATTCCTAGTTAGGGAGTATCAGGAGCCCCTGTCTAATGCACATGGTGACTCTGCACTGATGTAGCCTTGCTGCCTGCCCTGCTTTCACCTGGTCCTCCGGTTTTCATGAACTTCTGCATTCTGCATGAAATCCAGGTCTCCGCTTTGTACCTATAGCTGTGTCTCTTTCTTTCCCATTCCATTTCTAATAAATATCTATGGTGTGCTTACTCTCAGCTAGGCATTGTGGTAGGTGTAAGAGCTACCTGCCATTCTCCCGCTCTTTACGTACAAGCAAATCTGGTGTGTCTGACTCAAAGTTCATAGTCTTAACCATTCCCTTGTTGGAAGAACATCATTCTGGATTTTTTGTCTTGATGAACATCTTTTCCTTCCAGGAACATAAGAGGATTTTATTTCATAGGCCCCTTGAAATGAGGCAAGCCCTTGTGACGTCTACGATCCATCAGTTGTGAACAGAAGTGATATGTGTCACCTCCATGTGGAAGCATTTGAGAGATGGGGTGAGATTCTTTGTGCCTCTTCGTCCTCCTTCCTCAGCAAGTGTGGGAGTCCTGTTGTGTTGACAGTGTCATGACATGGTATAGCCTCCTTCAGCCTGAGCCTCTGAATATATGTGAGGTGAGAATCTCTCCTGTTAGCCTACATTATACATGTAGTTTGAGCATAAAACAAACCCCTGTTGTTCAGAACCACGGAGCATTGAGAGTCTTTGGTATTGCAGAATGACCAAGCTTACCCCAATTAATATGGCATCATTCCAAACACCTCCCTTTTACAATTTAGTAGGAGGAATATGTGCAATAAATATATAAGCAAACAAATATGTAAAATAGTAGGAAATGATGAGTTCTCTCAAGAAAATAATACTGGGAAATTGGATGGAAAGTGACTTGGGGGTCGCCACTTACACAGCAGTGCTCAGAGACTCCTTGCAGAAGGGGTGGTAGTTGAACTGATGAGGCGTAGCCACGTAAAGGTTTAGAAAAAGGAACTCTGGCAAAGGCAACAGAAGTCTGAAGGTTTGAAGCAGATTGGATTGATCGTGTGTACTGTTCACTCTGGTTACTTTTGATAAGCAGACTGTATGTCAGCAAGAAAGGAAGCAGGGAAATCAGTCAGGAGGCTATTGTGATAGAACAAATGAGAGATGGGGCATTAAGACGGGGCTTTTAGTAGTGAGGTTGCTGAAAAGTGACCTGACACAGGATCTATTCTGGAGATGTCAGTAAAAAAACTTGCTGACAGATTGGCTGTCGGTAGCAGACGGAAAGGAAAATCAAAGGTCATCTCCCAGGTTTTTGGTCTGAGAAACTCAGTGCTATTTAGTAAAATGGTAAAGGGAAGGTCAGGAGCAGGGTTGGGAGTGAAAAATCAAGAGTTTGGTTGTAAGCATGTTAGGTTTGAGATGGCTACTTGCAGTCAAGTGGAGTTATCAGGCCGGCAGTCACACATGCGCATCTGGAACTCAGGAGAAGCCTTATTTGGAGACGGGGTTGGGAGAATCAGGGAGCATACAGATGATAATCGAAGCTTACGACTGTTTTGAAGATAGCACAGAGAAGAGAGGCAACAGCGAAGAATGGGTCATCAGGCAGACTGAGAGCTAGAGCTTTACCTAGTAAGGGAGGTGGCACATTGCTTCAAGAACAAAAGGTGACAATTTGTGTCAAACGTGGCTATAAGTTCAAATATGATGAAAAGAGAGATTTAGACATTAGAATACCTAGCATAGAAGTGATCAGTGACCTTGATAAGAGCCATTTCAGGAGTGAAGACTAAAGGGGATGTGACGCAGTAGAGATCTAGACAGCTTTTCCCAGAAGTTTCAGTTAAAGACAAGCAGAAAACTGGGGTAGAAGTAGGGTCCCTGTATATGAACCTCTGCCTTGGCAACATGTGTAACATCTCATGCCCTCCAATTTTGGCTAGACTTGCTCCTCCAGCTTGCTATTTGTAGACTCCATATAAGCTGGAGTCTTCTCTTGAATCCTGTCCCCAACACTGGAATGTACACCTGCCAGAGAGACCACCCCGAAAGCAAATTTCTCCCTGACAGACTCTCCACATAAAGTAACAGTAAACCACATGCTCTGAAGAATTATGAATAAAGGGATAAAGAAGAAATAAACAAATCTGTTCTTCACAAACTCAGAAAGGGTCTATGCACTTGATGGCAGCCAGTGATAATTCTGGATCCCCAAAAATCATGGCCATCAAGATGAGTGTGATGGTGAAAAAGTCACCTCATCAGCCATCAAGGTGACAGATGATCACAATGCTGGGGATTATTCAAATGTAATGATTGAATTGTTAAATACAATAAATTCAATTGTTAAAGACAGTACAGTCACACCATTCAAAATTCAAAACGTAAAATGGATGCACGGTGATGTCTCCATCTGATCCCTGTTTCCTGCCTTCCAGTTCACGTCTCCCAGAGAAACTCATGTTATTATTTTCTTGTCATTCTTCCATATGTACATGCGCACTCTTCCCACCCTCCACCTCTTGACACAAGTGGCATTTTACCCACATGCTATTCTGCATCTATAGAGCCAGAAATCTGCCAAAATGGAGAGAAGTAGGTTTCTGCAAATCACTAACAGCTTCTGAATTTATAATAATTTTTTTTTTAATTTAGAAAAGCAGTTGTTTCTTAGATAGTAAGCATGATAAGTAGAGTCTAAATTGAGTTCTTATGTGTCTGGAGTGTCTGTTGAATACAGCTGACCTATGAGGGGCAGAAGATACTTGGGAGAATAAATATAGGAGATGTGACATTTGTGCCTGATCATTCTGACACAAGTTCCCAGGGATGTCATGGAACCTTATCATCACTGATGTATCCACTTGCCATCATCCCCTCCCTTTCAGAACTTCTGGGAAAGCCCTGCCCTCCTGCCAGCACACCCTTGGCTGGCTTAGGTCCTTGGCTGTCTCTCTCTGAAGTTAATCAGCTGCCAGAATCACCACCTGTCCCCTGTAAAAATTGGCCTTGTATTGCAAAACACCTCCCTCTTGGCTGGCCATTCTTGCAATACTTCCGTCAGCATTTACATGGACCCAGGTCCCCATTATCCCAGTTTGATGTCCCACTTCCCACTGCTTGCCTGAGTCCCTCTCCAAGCAGGGGGCATGTACCTTTTAAATATGAACCAATTCTAATATATAACAACATAGAGCCCGATTTTTTAAATGACCACCTGACTCACCAAGAGAAGAGAAGCTCATTTTCTTTTCTTTTCTTTTGTTCTTTTTTTTTTGGGGGGGGGGGGGGACTTGAAAGCTTTTGATTTGATAACTAGTACTGGATCATGATACCTACTTATTATTCTTTTTTTTAAGTTGGACTTTAGGTTCTGGGGGTACATGTGCAGATCACGCACAACTGTTGCATAGGTACACACATAGCAGTGTGGTTTGCTGCCTCTACCACCACCCCCCGGCCCCCTCCCTGTCACCTACATCTGGCCTGGCTCATTTTCAAATGATTCCTGACTGTTATAATAGCACTGTGGGACTCCGGAAGGACTCCACGCAGGGGCCGGAGCGCTCTTGAGCACAGGAGAAAACGCAGAGAAGGCAGGTCCTGTCTGAGGTCTGGCAATTGGGGACAAAGCCGGGCGCCCAGGCCCTAACGCCCACGGCAGCACCAAGCCCTCACTCCTGGAGCACCCCAAGCTCTCCAACGCCATGGCCAGGGCACTGCACCGGCACATTATGTTGGAGACGGAGCTCAAGCGGCAGGAGGAAGAGGTCGACAAGTTGATGGAACAGAAGAGAAGGAAGAACAGTAGGGAAGGAAGTAAAAAGAGATGGAAGAGAGGATGTCACTAGAGGAGACCAAGGAACAAATCCTGAAGTTGCAGGAGAAACTTTTGGCCCTACAGAAAGAAAAGCACCAGCTTTTTCTGCAGCTCAAGAAAGTTTTACATGAGGAAGAAAAATGGAGGCGAAAGGAACAGAGTGACCTGACCACCCTAACATCAGCTGCATACCAGCAGAGCCTGAGTGTTCACACAGGAACTTATATCCTCAGCCTGCAGGGGAGCCCTGGAGGACACAATCGCTGGGGCACCCTCATGGCAGCTGACAGAGCTAAACAACTCTTTGGACCCCAAGTGCTTATGACCCAGCACTACGTGGGCTCAGCAGCTGCTTTTGCAGGGACACCAGAGCCCACACAACTCCAAGGCAGCCCTGGTGGTGCCTATGGGACTGCTTAGCCCCCACTTCACTATGGGCCCACACAGACAGCTTATAGTTAGTCCTAATCAGCCCCTCCGTGCTCCTTCAGCGTTCCCTGCTGTGCAGTACCTGTCTCAGCCACAGCCACAGCCCTAAGCCGTGCATGGCCACTTTCAGCCTACTCAGACAGGTTTCCTCCAGCCTGGTGGTGCCCTGTCCTTGCAAAAGCAGATGGAACATGAGTGGCTTCTCCCACTCATCCTCTCTGCTCCCCATTCACAGGCTCTGCATCTAGCCTTTGAGCTCCTTGCTTCCTTCCAGCTGTGCATATGCAACCCGCAGGAAAGTCAGGCTTTGCAGCTACCAGCCAAGCTGGCTCTCCACCCCCTTCATCCAACACAGCCAGAACCCATGATTTGACCACAAGTGACCATCAGATTATATATTCAGCACTATACCCCCACCCCACCATGGGTGATGGTACCCCCTGTGTGTCCCAGGAACAATAAAATCTGACTGCCACTGCCCCTGACAAAAAAAAAAAAAAACAAAAAACAAAAAAAGCACTGTGCCTGAATAGCTCAGTCATCGCAGGAGCAAGGAGGGCAGTTTTATTTTATATTTGACCTAGCAACAGAAATTGTAATTGGAAATCAACTTGAGATACTTACAACAGCTACTTATAATCTTGTCAATTAACATTTGTGCATCACTTTACTCTTTATGAGGCACTTTTATGTACACGGTCATAATACATTAGGGGCTCCAAGCAGAGAGAGAAAAAAACTATTATTTTATTGCCTACTCTTAGAAACAGGGAGGAAACAGGTTCTTTCAAAGGAGAATATCAAAGTAGACCACAGAGCTAAACACAAAAGCAGCAGCATTATCATTGCCAAACTCAGAGAGGCTAAAATGAAAATATTGCCAATTCAGGAATTCAGCAGAGACACATTGTAGGAAGAGGGTCAAACCAAAATGAGGACCTATCACAGAATGTTCAAGATTGAGGGCTGATGAACAACTGTATGGCCAGAGTAGGTTTTTAGTTCTTTCATTTACCATGTAGGTAACACATAGCTTTGTATTAAAATAAAGCAACTGCAGCTGAAGCAAAAGAAAATAAGCAGTATACTTTAGGCTTTTCTGCCCAGTATCATTGATGGCCGCAGTCTGGGGGAGAGTTGCCTGAACTTTGTCCCCACTAATGCCCCAATTTGTTTCTTCTTTCCTTTTTTCCCGGAGGAAAAAAAAATCTTACTGGTTCCCTGTCTGGTCTGCTCCTTCTTCAGGTGGTTTGGGAATAAACATTTTCCTGGCTGTCAATGACTCATGATGGACTTGACCGATGGTAGCTGCCTCTCCTGGAGACTTGGTATTCATCCTTGTCTCTTGTCTCAAAGGCAACAGTGCACTCATGTAAATTGTGAAAGAATCTGGCTTGATTAATTTGATGGCAATGAGTGCCAAGTACAATCATAATTCGTCACATCTGCTGATTCTGAATCGCCAATTTTGAATAAATATTTCACTTTTGGTGCTTTTCCTGAAGAGTCTTAAGGGACTGACTTCTACACATCTTCATGTGTCCACCTCCATCCACACTGTATTTGCCTATTAGATTTCCTTGCATGCAGTAGGTACTCAATACATGTTTACTGACTGAAAGTAATCTTTCTTAGAGGATAGCGAGGTTCCACTTTTGAACTGGTTGATTCAGTTGGCTTTGTCTTGCATGAACGAATCCAATATGAAAACATGTCCTGATGAGAGAGAGAGAGATGAATTGTTGAAGACAGTTCTCCCCTTTGAGAGTAAATATGTGGGAATGTGTGATGGTTCATGGCATGGCTAAAATGTGATGAGTGTGATTGTGTGTGGGGGGGTGTGTGCCTGTGGGTACACACGGGCATTATTTATTCCCAGTCTATAAGACGTTCCCAGTATATGCCCGTTTTACCAGAAGAAAGCACTTGGGATTCTTTCTTCTCTGACAGCACTTGTCTCAAGACTCCCCATTCTCCAGAATTCTTATCTATTTTATGACAGTTGTGCCCAAATGCCTCAGTTGAAAATTGATCTCAATCTTAGAGAAAAACAGACTCAGGCTGACCTGGGCAGGACACGAGTGGAAAGTGATCTTTCTGAAATGAAGATCAGGGCGAATGAGGAAATGGAATGAGAGCAGGAAAGCAGCAAGGAGATTAATACTGGCCTAGCACTTCTGGAACATGGCTGAGACACTTCTCTCGAAAGTTCTAACAGTGTTAAGTCAGCCCAAACCCCATCCTGGCTCAGAGATGAGGTGAGAGGCAGGTATGGAGGCAAGAGAGGAAAATAAGTGCAAAAAGAAACTGAATTAGAGGAAGAAAAGAAGAGAGGGGAATTCTAAGTGGAAATTAATTGGTGGAAACCATAAAGATGTATCAGTAGCCAAACAAATGTTTGGATTTTTCCTAGGTGGCTGTAAAAGAGTGCCTACCTATCTACCTGCCCACACCCATCTATTCATCTATCCCGCCTTTTTCTGAAAGGATTTAAGCTAGTTCCATAAAGTGTATGTAATGATGTGGTATAAACTATAATTAGGCAAAATTGCACAGAAACACAAGGATGGAAACAAAAATGAAGCCACGAATGGGGCTGGCCACACACACTTACTATGACTGGATCATGTGCCTGTCTAAGTTACTGACTGTGACAGTGAGAAACAGTGATACACATAACTAGAGTGAGAATCTTGCTGAACCTGTAGCCTTGGCCTGTGGCATGTGCCTTCCTCTCCAGATCTGCCTCTATGATTACGTCCTGCTTGGACTCAGCCACACCCAGTGGGCTTTGTGGGATGTCCTCTATATGCAATGGGTAGCGGGGAGAAGTTGGGCTAAACGTTTGTGTTTGTGAGTATCATATATGTTAAGACCCAAATGCAAAAATTGCTTTACTTGCATAAGGCAAATTAAAGAAAGAACCTGTCCAACTATAGAAAAAAAACCTTGTCAGAGGTTATAAAACAGCAACATTAATTTTTTCAAAGCTCAAAAAATAGCAGATTTTAACCTTTTTTTTTTTAGTTAGTTAAAAAAACCCATGATTGAAAAGTGTGTTGACAGAGGCTGTGAGGTTCTTTTCTTATCTGACATCTCCCTCTACTGACAGTACCCTCCCTCGCTTTTCCTTTGCAACACAGCAGGGAAGTCCTTTGAAAGTGGCATGCCTGTGAAATGCCTTTGAGTCCTGGTTCACAGATTGGAGAAGGACCAGGTTTTGTGGGGGAAGATCATAGGTTCCTTACGGGTCTTGGGGAACTGGAGCCTTCTAAGTTCAATCAGCAATAGGATTCATGTGTCTGAAGCTCAGAAGAGAGACCTAAGACAAAGATAGAAGTGAGAGAGTGGCCAGTAGGAGCGGATGAAAGGAAAGAGGAGGAGGAGCAGGATGCCCTGACCTTGAGAGTCTCTCACACATAAAGGCCAGGCACATGGGGAGGAGCAAAACAACATACGTTCAAGTCATTCGTTCCTGTGAATGCTTTGCAAAGCATTTCCTACTAAGGGCCATCCGTCTTTGACTTATATAATTCCAGTATTGAGAAACTCACTCTTTCATTGCTGTTTGACAATTCTTATTGTTAGAAGGTTATTACTTCTGATGAGCTGGAAGAATCTGGTTCCCCACCATTTCCATCCTTTTTTCTCATTCTGCTGTTCAGTGTGATAAAGATAGAATCTGTCTTCTCACACGTTTACCCAACAAATGCTTCCCCATGAAAATCTCTTGAGACAAATATGAGTAAATGTTTAAATTGCCCAGTTCAATGCCTTTTTCCCTACCCTCTCCCACCCCATTATAAGCCCTTGAGAACAAAGACTGTGTCTTATTCCCCTCCCCGCCAGTCTTCAGTTTATCAGACATTTCAGGGAGTGTTTCCATGTAATAAGTGCTTCTTGAACATAATCTATTTAGACACCCACATCAATTGAATGAGTAACAAACTATTATCAGTCCCATTCACAGATAAGAAACCCGTTTTAGAGAGATATATAACTTGCACAATGCCTTATAGGAACTGTGTGGTAGAGCTTGACTTGGATACCATGTCTTTCTGATATTGAGGCTTGGAGCAGTTAAGTCAATGTGATCTTAACACTTTTGCCAACTAAACACCATGAGGCACAGAAAAAGACCACAATAGTGTTCACTGGATTGAATTAATCTGTGATAATACCTACTTGGAAATTGGTAAAGTGAAGTCAACAGCATTTAGATGAAACAAGTAAGACTGTCTCTAGACTCAAGCTTCTCCTCCACTGGAGTGACTGCCTCTTCCTTAGATCAGCTCCCATAAAGCAGCCCCCATCCCAGCTTGCTCCACCAGCCTCAGTCAGCAGTCAGTTCTGACTAGAGCTCTTCTATCTGGCTCCATCTATGGCCCTGTCATCTCCCTCCAGCCCTCACACCAAGCCTCCATCCATACAGAGTTTCTATTGCCCTAATGGTTTGATCAGTACTTCCAGCTCCCATCATTCTAGATTCTTTCAAAGAGCAACTGATTCCTGCTGGTTATATTTTGGATGCAATGGGCTTGAGCCCCCACTAACAAGCTGTATAACCTTGAGTAAGTTATGTACCTTCTTTGAGCCTTGAGTTTATTGTCTTTAAAATAATGGGCCAGGCATGGTGACTCATGCCTGTAATTCCAGCATTTTGGGAGGGTGAGGTGGGAGGATCACTTGAGGCCAGGAGTTCAAGAGGCCAGCCTGGGCAACATAGTGAAACCCCATCTCTACAAAAACTTTAAAAACAAAAATATTAGCCAGGCATAGTGCTGTGTGCTTTGTACTCCCAGCTACTTGGGAGGGTGAGGGGAGAGGAAGTTACAGGAGATCAAAGCTGCAGTGAGCTACGATCATGCCATGGCACTCCAGCCTGAGCGACAGAGTGAGACCCTGTCTCTGTTTAAAAACTAAATAAAATAGGAATGAGAACTATTACTTAATGGCATGCCGTGACTTTAACTAAAAATATAAGTTAAATGTGCAACAGACTGTAATCCCAGCACTTTGGGAGGCTGAGGCAGGCGGATCACGGGTCAAGAGATTGAAACCATCCTGGTCAACATCGTGAAACCCCGTCTCTACTAAAAATACAAAAATTAGCTGGGTGTGGTGGTATGCGTCTGTAGTCCCAGCTACTCAGGAGGCTGAGGCAGGAGAATTGCTTAAACCCAGGAGGCGGAGATTGCAGTGAGCCGAGATTGTGCCACTGTACTCCAGCCTAGCTCCTGGTGACAGAGCAAGACTCTGTCTCAAAAAAAAAAAAAGAGTGCTTGCCCCACCTCCTCTCTATTCCATGAGTCTGTAGATGGAAACTGAAAAATTTGTGATTGCTCTTTCAACTTGAAGAAGATGAATAATGAGAGGAAATAGAGATAGCAAAGAGAGAGAGAAGTTACAGGAGTAAGAGGACAGATAAAATGCATATCGCGGAAGCCATAGAGAGAGTTCAACCCTTAGAACCTGTTTCT